CAGCTATGTGTGTGTGTCCTAGAGCAGGGCTGAGCGAACACTGGGCCCTGCCATGCCGTGAAGTCTACCAGCAAGCTGTGTATCTCACATAGAGCAGGCCTGAGTGAGTGCTGGGCCCTGCAAGGCCATGAAGCCTCCCTGCCAGCTGTGTGTGTGTCCTAGAGCAGGCCTGAGTGACTGCTGGGCCCTGCTATTCCATAAAGCCTAGCTGCCAGCTCTGTGTGTGCGCCCTGGGGCAGGGATGAATGAGTGTTGGGCCCTGCCAGGCCCCAAAGCCTGCCAGCCAGGTGTGTGTGTGTGTCCTAGAGCAGGCCTGAGTAAGTGCAGGGACTTGCCAGGCAGCAAAGCCTGCCAGCTGTGAGTGTGTGCCTTCGACCAGGCTTGAGTACTAGGTCCTGCAAGGCCATGATCCTGCCTCCAAGCTGTGTGTGTGTGTCCTAGAGCACACCTGAGTGACTGCTAGGCCCTACCAGGCCACGACGCCTACCTGCCAGCTGTGTGTGTCTGTCCTAGAGCAGGCCTGAGTGACTTCTGGGACCTGCCAGGCTACGAAGCCTGCCTGCCAGCTGTGTGTGTGTCCTAGAGCAGACCAGAATGAGTGCTGGGCCCCACCAAGCTGCGAAGCCTGCCAGCTGTGTGTGTGTCCTACAGCAGGCCTGAGTGAGTGCTGGGCCCTGCCTTTCTATGAAACCTGCCTGCCAGGTGTGTGTGTGTTTTCTAGAGCAGACCTGAGTGAGTGCTGGGCCCTGCCAGCCTGCGAAGCCTACCAGCTGTGTATGTGTGTCGTAAAGGAGAACTGAGAGAGTGCTGGTCCCTGCCATACCGTGAAGCCTGCCTACCAGCTGTCTGTGTGTGTCCTAGAGCAGGTCTGAGAGAGTGCTGGGCCCTGCCATGCCATAAAGCCCACCTGACAGATGTGTGTGTGCGCCCTGGGGCAGGCCTGAGTGTTGGGCCCTGCCAAGCCCCAAAGCTTGCCTGCCAAGTGTGTGTGTGTGTCCTAGAGCAGGCCTGAGTGAGTGCTGGGACCTGCCAGGCAGCAATGCCTGTAAGCTGTGTGTGTGTGCCTTCAAGCAGGCTTCAGTACTAGGCCCTGCAAGGCCATGAAGCCTGCCTGCCAGCTGTGTATGTGTGTCCTAGAGCAGGCCTTAGTGAGTGCTGGAACCTACCAGGCCGCGAAGCCTGCCTGCCAGCTGTGTGTATGTCTTAGAGCAGGCCTGAGTGAGTGCTGGGCCCTGCCAGGCTGTGAAGCCTGCCTACAAGCTGTGTGTGCGGAAGCACCATAACGCCCCCCTGCCAGCTGTGTATGTGTGTCCTAGAGCAGGCCTTAGTGAGTGCTGGAACCTACCAGGCCGCGAAGCCTGCCTGCCAGCTGTGTGTATGTCTTAGAGCAGGCCTGAGTGAGTGCTGGGCCCTGCCAGGCTGTGAAGCCTGCCTACAAGCTGTGTGTGTCCCAGAACAGGTCTGAGTGAGTGCTGGGCTCTCCCAGGCTATGAAGCCTGCTTGCCAGCTATGTGTGTGTCCTACAGGAGGCCCGAGTGAGGGCAGGGCTCTGCCAGGCTGTGAAGCCTGCCTGCCAGCTGTATTTGTGTGTTCTAGAGCAGGCCTCAGTGAGTGCTGGGCCCTGCCTTTCTGCTAAGCCTGTCTTCCGTGTGTGTGTGTGTGTGTGTGTGTGTGTGGTAGAGCATGGCTGAGTAAGTGCTGGGCCCAGCCAGGCCACTGAGCCTGCCAGCCACCTGTGTATGTGGATCCTAGAGCAGGTCTGAAATAATGTTGGGACCTGCCAGGATGCAAAGCCTGCCTGCCAGCTGTGTATGTCCATTCTAGAGCAGGCCTGAGTGAATGCTGGGCCCTGAGAGGCCACATAGCCTGCCTGCCAGCTGTGTGTGTGTCTTAGATCAGGCCTGAATGAGTGCTGAGCTCTGCCATGCCGCAAAGCCTGCCTCCATACTGTGTATGTGTCCTAGAACAAGCCTGAGTGAGTGCTGGGCCCTGCCAAGCTGTGAAGCCTGCCTGACAGCTGTGTGTCTGTGTCCTAGAGCATGCCTGAGTGTGTGTGGGGCCATGCAAGGCTGTGGAGCCTGCCTGCCAGGTGTGTGTGTGTGTGTGTGTCCTAGAGCAGGCCTGCATGAGTGCTGGGACCTGCCAGGCAGCATAGCCTGCCAGCTGTATGTGTGTGTCCTAGAGCAGGCCTGACTGAGTCCTGGGACCTTCCAGGACACAATGCCTGCCTGCCAGCTCTGTGTGTATGTCCTTGAGGACACCTGAATGAGTGCTAGGCCCTAACAAGCCATGAAGCCTGCCTGCCAGCTGTATGTGTGTGTCCCAGAGCAGGCCACCATGACTGCTGGGCTCTGGCAGGCCACAAAGCCTGCCAGCTGTGTTTGTATCCTAGAGGAGGCCTGAGTGAGTGCTGGGCCGTGCCAGGCCATTAAGCCTGCCTGCCAGTTGTGTGTGTGTATGTCCTAGAGCACGCCTGACTAAGTGCTGGGCCCTTCCAGGCTGCAATGCCTGCCTGCCAGCTGTGTGTGTGTGTCCTAGAGCAGGCCTGAGTGAGTGCTGGGCCCTGCAAAGCCGCAAAGACTGCCTGTCAGCTGTGTGTGTTTTCTGACAGCAGGCCAGAGTGAGTGCTGCGCCCTGCCTGGCTGCAAAGCATGCCAGCTGTGTATGTGTCCTAGAGCAGGCCTGAGTGAGTGCTGGGCATTCCCAGGGCACAAAGCCTACCTGCGAGCTGTATGTGTGTGTGTCCTAGAGCACAGCTGAGTGAGTGCTGGGCCCAGCCACACCGTGAAGCCTGCCAGTGAGCTATGTGTGTGTGTCGTAGGGCGGGCCTGAGTGAGTCTTGCCGGGCCGCAAAGCCTGCCTGCCAGCTGTGTGTGTGTGTATCCTAGAGCACGCCTGAGTGCGTGCTGGGCCCTGCCAGGCCACAAAGCCTACCGGGAAGCAAAGCCTGCCAGCTGTGTGTGTGTGTCTTACAGCATGGCTGAGTGAGTGCTGGGCCCAGCCAGGCCACTGAGCATGCCAGCCAGCTCTGTGTGTGTGTCCTCAGCAGGCCTCAGTGAGTGCTGGACCCTGCCAGGCTGTGAAGCCTGCCACCTGTGAATGTGTGTCCTAGAGCAGCCCTGAGTGAATGCTGGGCCCAGCCAGGCCGCAAAGCCTGCCTGCCAGCTGCGTGTGTGTGTCCTAGAGCAAGCTTGATTGAGGGCTGGGCCCTTCCAGGCCACGGAGCCTGCCAGCTGTGTATGTGTATCCTAGAGCAGGCCTGAGTGAGTGCTGGGCCGTACCATTCAGCGGAGCTTGCCAGCTGTTTGTGTTTGTCCTAGGGTAGGCCTGAGTGAGTGCTGGGCCCTGCCAGGCCACAAATTCTGCCTGCCAGCTGCGTGTGCGTCCTAGATCAGGGCTGAGTGAGTGCTGGGCCCTACCAGGTAGCAGAGCCTGCCAGCTTTGTGTGTTTGTCCTAGGGTAGGCCTGAGGGAGTTCTGGGCCCTGCCAGGCCACGAAGCCTGCCTGCCAGCTATGTGTGTGTGTGTGTCCTAGAGCAGCCCTGAGTGAATACTAGGCACTCCCATGCCATGAAGCCTCCCTGCCAGCAGAGTGTGTGTCCTAGGGTAGGCCTGAGTAAGTGCTGGGCCCTGCTAGGCTGTGAAGTCAGCCTGCCAGCTGTGTGTGTGTGTGTCTTAGAGCAGGCCTGAGTGAGTGCTGGGCCCTGCCAGGCCATGAAGTCTGCCTGCCAGCTCTGTGTGTGGGTCCTAGAGCAGCCCTGAGTGAGTGCTGGGCACTCCCATGCTGGGAAACCTGCTGGCTAGCTGCGTGTGTCTGTCCTAGAACAGGCCTGAGAGAGTGCTGGGCCCTGTCAGGTCACAAAACCTGTCTGCCAGCTGTGTGTGTCGTGGATCAGGGCTGAATGAGTGCTGGGCCGTACCAGGGAGCAGAGCCTGCCAGCTGTGTATGTGTGTCCTAGAGCAGGCCTGAGTGAGTGCTGAGCCCTGCCAGGCCTCCAAGCCTGCCACCTGTGAATGTGTGTTCTAGAGCAGGCCTGAGTGAGTGTTGGGCCCTGCCAGGCCACAAAGCCTGCCAGCTGTGTATGTGTTTCCTAGAGAAGGGCTGACTGAGTGCTGGGCCCTACTAGTCAGCAGAGTCTGACAGCTGTGTGAGTGTGTCCTAGAGCAGGACTGAGTGAGTTCTGGGCACCCCCAGGCCATGAAGCCTGCCTGCCAGCTGTGTATGTGTGTCCTAGAGCAGGGCTGAGTATGTGCTGGGCCCTGCCAAGCCACAAATCCTACCAGGCCCCAATGCCTGCCAGCTGTGTGTGTGTGTCTAATAGCAGGCCTGCGTGAGTGCTGGGCATCTATGAGGCTACGAAGCCTCCCTGCAAGCTGTGTGTGTGTCCTAAAGCAGGCCTGAGTGAGTACTGGGCACTGTCACGTTGCGAAGCCTGCTGTTTGTCTGTCATAGAGGAGGCCTTAGTGCGTGCTGGGCCCTTCCAGGCCACAAAGCCTGCCTACCAGCTGCGTCTATGTTCTACAGCAAGTCTGGGTGAGAGCTGGGTCTTGTCAGGCTGCGTAGCCTGCCACCTGTGAATGTGTGTCCTTGAGCACGCTTGAGTGAGTACTGGGTCCTGACAGGCCACAAAGCCTACCTGCCAGCTGCATATGTGTCTCCTAGAGAAGCCCTGAGTGAGTGCTGGGCCCTGCCAAGCCACTAAATCTGCCAGCTGTGTGTGTGTGTCTTATAGCAGGCCTGCATGAGTGCTGGGCATCTATGAGGCTGCGAAGCCTGCCTGCCTGCCAGCTGTGTGTGTGTGTCCTAGAGCAGGCCTGAGTGAGTACTGGGCACTGTCAGGTTGCGAAGCCTGCCTGCCAGCTGTGTGTGTGTGTCCTAGAGCAGGCCTGAGTGAGTGCTGGGCCCTGCTGTTGCATAAATTGCTAGTTTCGTTCCCCTGGAGGCCTTTCCCAAACACCTCAAGGAGCGGAGTCACACTCAGGCTAAGTCCATTACAAGTTTATTGATTGCGCAATCGGTCGACAGAGGGGTTGAGTAACCCAAAGCGGTGTCGACCCTCAGTCTTTGTCTGAGGGTCGTTTATAGCTTACCTAAACAAAGAACTGTGACGTGTCTTACAACTATAGGCAGTTTCACACTTTTACCATTACGTTTAAGTTTCCACAGGATGTCAGGGCCTTTTAAGTCAGACCTGACTTATTATGGGATAGATGAAGGCGCATGCGTGTTAGGGGAAGTTGTGGTGAGCTCAATGACCTTTTGTAACTCTTTTATCTTTGTGTAATTCTAGGTCATTGAACAGGTGTGTGCGGGGGTGAAACTCTATGTGAAGTTGTTCTTAACCTATATGCAGAAACTGTTAACAAGCCCAAGCCATGTTGAATACAGAAGCATATTGCAAAAATAAAGCATCATGTTTAACTTCAAGCCTTAGATCTAAAATCTAATGTATTTTTCCTACAATTTCCCCCCTCAAAGATGCTTTCTATCTCTACAGATTTTGATAATCCTCAGCGAGAGCTAGCGCCTGATAACGCACAAACATTTCATGATGGGCGACATTCTTAGCAGTTTGTTTTACAATGGAATACATGCAGGGTAATATGCAAGGAAGCAGAGCACACCCCGATATTAGTAGTAGAAAACATGCTATACCCCCCCTCACCCATCCAAGCTGGGGTAACCAGTTTGAAAACCAATCCATCCTCCACCCGTTCCATTTTTGGACTGGAACGTGTGCCACCTTTTCCATATCATCTGCTAAAGCTTTTATTAACTCCCCATTATCGTCTATTTCAACACAACAGTCGGACAAATTCAACTTTTTGCACACTCCTCCTTCACTGGCCAGTAGATAGTCAAGAGCTAACCGGTTTTGTAGTACCGTGGTACGTAGCTGAGTGAGCTGGTCACCGATCAAGCGTAGGGCTGCGGCTGTTTTATTGGTAACTATCTCTACGACGGCTTGGAGTCTAACAAAGCGGTTGGTTAAATACATAGGTTCCCTACCAACTACGTTTGGTTCCCAGGTCGCAGGACCATAGTACTGAATAATCCTTTCTGCTGGCCATTCCTCGTCACCCCATTTTTGGTTCCCGCCTTTGGCTATAGCCTCAAAGGAATTATCAGCGCTCCGTTTTGCGCGGTGGGTACTGGGAGGTATTGTTTTAATACCTGTGGCTGTAGGTTGTTTTAACCAAACCCCGGGAATCAGAGTTCCTAAATAACAAGTCCCAGTCCAATTGGAGGGAAGTTGCCTATATGCCCATTGCCCACAAATCCACCATAGGCCGCAGGACTCATGGGGGATACTGGAGCGGGAATATATCAAATCCAAAGTTAATGTGCCCCTTTTGGATCCTTTTCGTAGGGGCACTGAGCAATTTTTCCAATTAAATGTATGCTTACCCCGGATGGAACATCGGAAATTGTAGTTGAAGAGTTGCCATACGCAACCACAATTTTTATACACATCAGATGAGTCACTCCAACATCTCCAGTAGCCGTCCTTTCCTACAGGAGACCAAGTATCCTCGCATTCAGATTCCCCTACTTCGTCTCCCCCTCCCTCTTGAGAGACGCATATGGAGCCTCTACCTTTCACCACCCTAAGTCTTTCTGAACCTTCGTACCTATTGGAGAAATTGAATTGGTTGTTAAAGCCCCAATCCGTTAGTATACCTGTTTTGTTGAGGGGAATGGGTACAAAGGGGACTCCTTCCTCAGTAGAAGTAGGAGTAAGCGCACACAAAATGCAATGGTGATCGCTTAAAGCCCGGGCTGAGTCTCTGAGGAGGGTCATCCAGGAATTTCCCACCCATGGGTTTGTGTGTGTCCTCTTATGCTTTGGGATGTCATTTTTGGTGGGGACAGGTTGGAGACTGGAAGGTTGATTTTTGAGGATTGCCTCCCAGAGTGCCTTGTTCATCTCGATACACCTAACCTTGTGGCCTATGCTGACTACGAATTCTATCATAATTTCTTGCTGAGGGCAACAGTCAGAGGTGGGGAATAAGTAGGCTTTAGAGATTAAGGATTTAGCCTGTCTGTAGGCGGTTTCAGAGAAAGAGATAGTATCGCGTTTCTCACATTTGCAGCAGTTAGGCCCAGCCGCTGCGTTTGATGTATCTAAAAGGGACAAGAGTGTGAACCAATAGATCAAGGTCCCCATCTTTGCAAGCGTAGTTTTAGATCTCCTACTGGTTTGCTTGTCCACTTGTCGGCTTTTTGTTCCCGGGTGTTATCAGCTTCCGGAGTGATCACACCCTGGGAGTTGACGTCCTC